TGGGAACGGGTCCTAAGAAGTGTAGCAGAAAGATACTTGTGTGCAGACGATCTCTATATGCAACAAACTCAGTGGAAGACAATAGAGCAAGGGATCCAACGCCTGAGAGAAATGGCAGTGGCAGAGATTATCTTCTCAGATGATGTAACAACTAGGAACCCAGACTTAGTACCATGTACGTCTGTGATGTGGCGAAAACTTGTACGATTTGGGCCACATGAATATGCTTCTGCCTTAGCCATCATGAAGAGGGATGAGAGGGATGAGACTGTGCTTGACATGGCAAGGAAGCTCCGAGCATATGCAGATGCTGTACATGGCCCGACACATGCCAGAATTGCAGCGGTAGAAACACGTCTGCAGAACTTAGAGGATAAGATAGAGGAGAATCATAAGAAGCTTAGAGAGGAGATTAAAGAAGACCTTCTCCAAATTTCAGCAGTACAGATCAGAGGTTCTGGTATCCAAGGCAGACGTTTCCCAGATGGCGAGAGAAGGTACACCCCACAAGCTGAGCTGTGGTTCTACCTGTGTGATTGTGGGGAAAACATGAGAAGGTGGGATAGGAAACCTACTGCTGTTCTGGCACAATGGGTGCATGAACTGAAGGAAGCCACCAGAAGGAAACCAGCTCCAGTTGCCTGTAGCTGAACGGCCAGGTATGATGATGATGACATGTCTGATCCCCTCGAAGGAACATCCAAAACATATGCCCAGGGAAAGAAGGATAACCAGGCTTAGAGGGGCCCTGCCTCTAGCCAGGTAGGGGCCAGGGAAAATCGTGTTTTCTGGTCTGTGTGGATTTTTTGGCCTGGCACATCAGAACCACAAGAGTACAAAGCTTTCGATACTGGTGCGCAATGCACATTAATCCCATCAAGACATGTGGGGACAGAGTCTGTTTCTATTGCGGGTGTAACAGGGGGATCCCAGGATTTCACTTTGGTGGAAGCTGATGTGAGCCTAACGGGAAATGAGTGGAAGAAACATCCTATTGTGACTGGCACAGAGGTCCCATGTATTTTGGGCATAGACTACCTTCGAAGTAGGTATTTCAAAGACACAAAAGGACTCAGATGGGCATTTGGAATAGCTGCTGTAGAGACAGAGGGCATCCAGCAATCGAACACCTTGCCTGGGTTGTCTGAGAATCCATCTGCAGTAGGATGCCTGACGGGAGAAGAGCAACGAGTGCCAATTGCCACTTCCATAGTGCATCGACAACAGTACAGGACCACTCGAGATGCTGTGATCCCCATCCATAAGATGATCCGAGAGCTGGAAAGCCAAGGGGTGGTCAGCAAGACCCACTCGCCCTTCAACAGCCCCATTTGGCCTGTGCGAAAATCTGAAGGACAATGGAGAATGGAGATTGACTGTGGACTACCGTGCATTGAATGAAGTGACTCCACCACTGAGTGCTGCTGTGCCAGACATATTAGAGCTCCAGTATGAGCTTGAGTCCAAGGCAGCAAAGTGGTATGCCACTATAGACATTGCCAATGCATTTTTCTCCATTCCTCTGGCAGCAGAATGCAGGCCTCAGTTTGCTTTCACATGGAGGGGAGTGCAGTACACCTGCAACCGACTGCCCCAGGGGTGGAAGCACAGCCCCACCATCTGCCATCTGGACTGATCCAGACTGCACTAGAAAGGGGTGAGGCTCCAGAACATCTGCAGTATATTGATGACATCATTGTGTAGGGGAACACAGCTGTGGAAGTGTTTGAGAAAGGGAAAGAAATCATCCAGATCCTCCTGGGAGCTGGTTTCACCATTAAAAAGAGCAAAGTAAAGGGACCAGCTTGTGAGATTCAATTCCTGGGAGTGAAGTGGCAAGATGGACAGCGTCAGATTCCTACAGATGTCATCAACAAGATCACAGCAATGTCTCCGCCCACCAATCAGAAAGAAACACAAGCTTTCCTAGGTGCCATAGGTTTTTGGAGGATGCATATTCCTGAGTACGGTCAGATCGTGAGCCCTCTTTACCTGGTCACCCACAAGAAGAACCATTTCCAGTGGGGCCCTGAGCAGCAACAAGCCTTTGCACAGATCAAGCAGGAAATTGCTCATGCAGTAGCCCTTGGCCCGATCAGGACAGGACCAGAGGTAAAGAACATGGTCTACTCCGCAGCCGGGGACCATAGCTTGTCCTGGAGCCTTTGGCAGAAGGTGCCTGGGGAGACTCGGGGTCGACCACTGGGATTTTGGAGTCGAAGCTACAGAGGCTCTGAAGCCAACTACCCTCCAACAGAGAAGGAAATCGTGGCTGCCTATGAAGGAGTCCAGGCTGCCTCGGACGTAATAGGAAGTGAAGCAAAACTCCTTTTGGCACCTCGACTACCAGTGCTGGGGTGGATGTTCAAAGGCAAGGTTCCTTCCACTCACCATGCCACCAGTGTTACATGGAGCAAGTGGATTGCTCTTATCACTCAGTGCGCCCGTACAGGTAAACTGAATCGCCCCGGGATTTTGGAGGTAATTACGAAATGGCCCAAAGGTGAGAATTTTGGTGTCACAGATGAAGAGGAACAAGAACCAGTGACACGTGCTGAAAAGGCTCCTCCCTATAACCAACTGCCATCAGAGGATGACATGCTACACTCTTTTCACTGACAGTTCCTGTCACATCGTAAGGATGAACCGGAAGTGGAATGCAGCCATATGGAGCCCCACATGACAGGTTGCACAAGCTACCGAAGGAGAAGGTGGATCAAGCCAACTTGCAGAACTCAAAGCTGTTCAACTGGCCCTAGACATTGCAGAAAAGAGAAATGGCCAAAGCTCTACCTCTACACTGATTCATGGATGGTAGCCAATGCTCTGTGGGGATGGCTGGAGAGGTGGAAAAAGGCTAACTGGCAACGCAGAGGAAAACCAATTTGGGCTGCTGATGAGTGGAAAGACATTGCTACCAGGGTAGGGAGGCTACCTGTGAAAGTCCGCCATGTAGATGCCCATGTACCCAAGAGTAGAGCCAATGAGGAACACCAAAACAATGAGCAGGTAGACAAAACTGCAAAAATAGGGGTGTCCAAAATAGACCTAGATTGGGAACATAAGGGAGATTAATTTCTACTTCTATGGGCCCATGGTGCCTCAGGCCATCAGGGCAGAGATGCCACCTATAAGTGGGCACGAGACCGAGGGGTGGATCTATCCAAGGACAGTATTTCTCAGGTTATCCGTGACTGTGAGACGTGTGCTGCCATCAAGCAGGCCAAGCGAGTGAAGCCCCTCTGCTACGGTGGGTGGTGGTCCAAGTACAAGTATGGGGAGGCCTGGCAGATTGACTACATCACACTGCCCCAGACACGCCAGGGCAAGCGCTACGTGCTGACCATGGTGGAAGCCACCACTGGATGGTTGGAAACCTACCCTGAGGCTCATGCTACGGCCCGGAACACCATCCTGGGCCTTGAAAAGCAAGTCCTGTGGAGACATGGCACCCCTGAGAGGATCGAGTCAGACAACGGGACTCATTTCAAGAACAGCCTTATCAACACCTAGGCTAGGGAACATGGCATTCAGTGGGTGTACCATACCCCCTATCATGCACCAGCTGCAGGAAAGGTAGAGAGGTACAATGGACTACTAAAAACCCAGTTGAAAGCTTTGGGTGGGGGATCTTTCAAAAATTGGGAGCAGCATTTAGCAAAGGCCACTTGTTAGGTAACACCCGAGGTTCCACCAACTGAGCAGGTGCTGCCCAGTCTGAGTCCCTGAATATAATAGAAGGAGACAAAGTCCCAGTGGTACATATCAGAGGTTTGTTAGGGAAGACTGTGTGGACCAATTCTGCCTTGAGTACAGACAAACCGATTTGTGGGGTTGTCTTTGCTCAGGGACCAGGTTGCACATGGTGGATAATGCAAAGAGATGGAACGACACGATGTGTACCTCAGGGAGATCTGATTGTGGGATAGGAATGATATGCAATATCACTGTTCATTGGATGTTACTGCCATTGTCTGTACATTAAACCACACAGACATGAGATAGAAGGAACTGTGTAAGTGTTGAAGGTCTGGGAAAGTGGAAGATGGAGCTTTAAGTGAGTTAAGTGAAAGGGAGGAATCCTGCAGCTCTGTAGTATAAGGCCAGGATTCAGTGGTCCAGTGTGGGGATGTGATGAGGGCATAATGGGTATCGCTGGTAAATTTTGGGGGAACAGATGGAAATTTTGTATGAATACTGCATGATGGGTGGTAGTATGTTGATGATATGGGGATAAAGGGTAGAATGCCCTGGGGTGACATTATGATGCTTGTATCCCCATTCATATGTTCTATGCCTTTAAGACTGTCTCTGAAGAATGAAAAGTTTTGTTTAGGTTTCTCTTATCAGGGACACAGTGACAGGCAGTACTTAGGGCTGTTTTCGCTTTTTGCTTTTGGCGTGCTCCTTTGCTTGCGCCCTCTCTGCTCTCGCTTCTGCTTGCTTTTGCTTCTGCTTATTAGCTGGTTCTACCTAAACAGTCCAAACTCCTTCCTGGACTGTTTCTCCTCTCTTTTTTCTTCGACCATCTCGAACCTGCCCAGGACTGGGACCTGGGAACAGTGAGGGTTTGCACCGTTTGGCCTGCAGCAGCTGCCCCAGCACTGGAGGGACTGAGAACAGAGCAACCACCCCCAAAAGAGACTTTCTGATTTTGTCATCTTTTTCAGAGTGGTGTCATCCGGTATTGTTCATTTTCTGTGCTGGGGGGGGTGCCGTGCCTGTTAAATAAACAGGTTCTTCCCACTTCTCCCTGAGGAATTCTTCCCGAACCGAATGGGGGAAGGGGCTGCGTGGGTTTGCATTCTGGAGGGGCCCTCCTTTGGCGATTCTCTACCAAATTTGCCCGAAACCAGGACACGCTGCATGCAGGAAACTCCTAGCTCCTTGCAGGACTCCAGCACTCAGCATCCTCAGCCAGCAACAGGAAGCGCTGGCTGCTCGAAAACTTGCACCTCTGCCTTGCTCTAAAGACAGCAGCACACAAAACTGGCACTTACAGGCTCACGATATCCAGGCTCTGGTGTGACCACTGATGGAGCCTGGTGCTCATACACCTCAATTTGTTCCTCTTGGGCTTCTTCTCCAGGAGCAGCGGGAGCTAGGGGAGAGATGGCTGTTGGTTCTGTCAGCTGTGGCAGGAGAGAAGCATGAGGGACAGGCTGTGATCTATCATTTAGAACCTCATTTCTTTTCAAATCTACCACCACATCTTCTTAGGAGAAATCAGACCATTTGGTTGCCACACAGGGATTCTAAGTTCCTCTGACCAAATTCATATGGGTCAACTCAACAGAATTCTAGATGGATATGAAGTTGATATTTCTCCCTAGATGCTATCAGCAAGCAATGTTGTCTTTGTAAAATGCAGCTTTTAGTTCTTGAAAGCTCAGAATTGGAAGAGGAGGAAAGAGACAACAATCCATTGCCATTGCTGCTGCAGACGTGGAAAACTCAAACTGGATCACAATCTCATTCAAGGCGTCAAAAGGGCAGGAAATGTTGCGCAGAAGCATCTTTGCTTGCTGCAAAAGGAGAAAACAAACAGGGCTTCCTCTTCTAGCAAACCAGCTGTTGCAGATTGAGCCATCTATCAGGGATGAGTCATTTGTCGGTTGCAGGGAAAACTTGGGATGCTCAATATGAGAATCAGCAAGCTTCCTTTATTGAAGAGAGCATCAGACATTTGTACAGCAAGTAGTAAGCTCTTGAATATTCTGTAATTTACTCCGACCATTGGCCACACCACTACATCAGTTCTCCATTCTTTAGATGTTACATCTCTCTTTTCTCATGTCTCTTCAACTCTTTGTTCTCATACTACAGCTAGGCCCAAGGACACGCTATCTTGCAGGTGCAGGACTTGGAATTGGCCACGGCCCTGTACTTTTCCAATTCTTAGCTACTCTCCCAACAACCAACTAGCCCGAAAACACAACATGGAAGTATCACCCATTCCGGTGTCTAAAGCACTTGAATTTAGTGAGGGCATGTTTGGTAGGGAAACAGTGACTGTGCTGAGCACTGTCATGTAGGGATTGATGGAAGTCTGCCTGAAGGTCCCTCATGAGCCTCCCATTTTCCAGGCTACAGCTCCCTTTAGCACCTCCTCACTGGGCTTGTGCTGCACTCCCTTGCCCAGCTCCCCTGTCCTTCTCTGCACACACTGCAGCCCTTCCATGACTTTCTCCTTCCCAGGGACCCACAAGTGCACACAGCACTCCAGCTGTGGCCGCAGCGCTGCCCAGCACAGGGCCACGCTCACTGCCCTCCTCCTGCTGCCCCACTGCTGCTGACACAGCCCACCATGCCCTTAGCCTTCTTGGACACCTGGTCCCAGGCTGGCTCTTCTTCAGCTGATCTTCTATGGCACCCCTGGGCTCTTTTAACCCATGCAGTTCCCCAGCCACAGCATGGCCTGCTTGAGTTCAAGTACAGCATCCACCATTTCTACATGTTCCTCTTCTGAGCAAAACAAGACAGCAGTCAAGGACTCGCGGCTTCACCCCCACTCCAGGCTCCAAGGCTCTTGCCAAAGCAGCAGACTTTATCACTAAGTGCATCAACAGAAACTTGCCCCTTCTGCTTTTTGCCTCACAAGAAGGCTTCCCAACTGCGTGCATTTCCTTTCTTTGGCCACACAGGACAAGAATGGCTCCCCACAGCTTCATGGACAACATAATGTGAGTCTGTCCAAATTTTCCCTCATCTGCTTCATGATTTTCATTGAGAGACCACTGAAGAGAAGACCCTTCCCCGCCCTGCCCCGTCAATAATCTCTGGCTCTGAAGGAGAAAGTCATACGCCAAAGGCTTGGAGACCTGAAAGCTCAGTGTTAAGCTATTTGTTTTCACAGGTGTAGTTTGCTGTCTGCCAAGAAGGGGGCACTGTGCCCCGTTTGCAACAATGGCTTTGGAAGCTGTCCCATCTCTTGGCCTGGTTGGACTTCTCCTGAGTTTCAGGTGGTCTCCCACAGAAGACCCTCACCTGCTTTAAAACCACCGTGACAGACAGACTGAGATGTAAGGACCCTCTCCATCAAGGACTGGGACTGAAACCCCTGGCCTGAGGGAAGTGTGTGGGGGGAGGCAAGCTGATCAAAGTGAGATGTTTGCCTGTAGGTGTGACCACTGGACCAGGAAAACAATGGCTCTCATTTACTGCTGAGAATATAGAGTACCTGTTACATCTATTCCCTATTGTATCTCTTTCCCACCCCCCCCCCCCCCCCCCCCCAATTTTCAAAATTAAATACCTCTGAGTTAGCTACAGATTTTGAGATCTCCCAAGCGTATCAGGCAGATCCTCGACTGGACTGGACCAAAAGACTTTGTCTCTATGTCGGTAGCTATATCTCCCCCTCTCTCTTCTCTCTCTTTATCTTTTTCTCACCCTTAATCCCTCAATCGAATTTTGCAGTGGTCATTCAATAAAGGTGCATTTGTTTTGATAATTACTGCAAACCCCCTTGTACTGTGTTAGTTCTTTTGCACCCTGAGATCACCTCCTACGAATCATCACAACATCCATTCCCTTGGATGGATTGTGACACATAACCATCTTCTGTAGCTTATCAAAAGACTAAAGACAACTGGTCCAAAAGAATTTGTAGAAACAAAGAATTCCTCAAGAAAACTGTAGACCAATTACACAAGCAAAACACACCTTTCCAACAAGGGAAAACAAAGATACAAAGGCCTGTGACATCCAGCACTACCACGTGTGCCCTTGGCCACAGCGCTGCAGAAGCCCAGAGGCAGAGCTTCCCTGTGCCAAGGAGCCAGATGCTCTCCCACAGGCACCAGCCCTTTGGGGCCTCAACATCACAGGTCAAAGGCCAAGTTCTGCTGTTGCTGCCTGCAGGAAATCCCTAGCTCCTGGCAGCACTCCAGCACTCAGCATCCTCAGCCAGCAACAGGAAGTGCTGGCTGCTCCAAAACTTGCACCTCTGCCTTGCTCTCAAGACAGCATCACACAAAACTGGCACTTACGGGCTCACGATATCCAGGCTCTGGTGTGAGCACTGATGGAGCCTGGTACTCATACACCTCAATTTGCTCCTCTTGGGCTTCTTCTCCAGGAGCAGCGGGAGCCGGGGGAGAGACGGCTATTGGTTCTGTCAGCTTTGGCAAGAGATTAGCATGAGGGACAGGCCTTCATCTATCATTTAGGACCTCATTTCTTTTCACATTTACCACCACATCTTCTAAGGAGGAATGAGAAACTTTGATTGCAATGGGATTCTAAATCTATAGGAATAGAATTCTCAGTCAGTCCGACTAAATTGAAATGGGCTAATTCTACTCTTTAAGGAATTGGTCTTAGTTCAGTATTCCCCTCTAGCTGCTTGCAGGATGCGACATTCTCTCTGCCAAACTGAGTTTATAGTTCTTCAGGGCTCTGAGATGAAAATTTAAAAATATCCACTTATGCTTTTTTTGTTTTTGTCGAAGGCATGAAAATTGATTTCCTTTCGGCCTCCCTAGCTGGCCCTCTACACTCTACTGTACTGGCCAAGCTGACAGCTGGCTCTACAATTCCTTAACATAAGAAATGAACATGAAATCTCCCTTTCTCACTCACCTCATAATCCCCACCTCTGAATACATGCCTGAGGTGACCTGTAGTGGGCAAGGGAAAATGAACAAATGCTGTGAGAAAACTGCCTGGGCTGCTGAATCCCACAGAACAAGTCAACCCAAACAGATGATTTTCCATTTCACAAAATCCCTCCAGGAGACACATTTCATTCACACGGCCAGCAAGAGATCAGGACAATTTTCTTGCTTGTGCCTACACTTTGGCTGTTTTGCCAGTAAATGAATACAAACATGACCAAGAAAATGCAAATTCATCTGTAACACTCAATGCTCCTGTTTTACCAAACACATCAAGCAGCTTTTTTTATCCTCTCCCTCAGGTACTTTTTTTTAAAAAATCATTTGCCTACCCTAATTCTCATTAACTTGCTGGAAACACGTTGCCCAGAAAAGCTTCCCCAAAATCCTCCTGAGCTGTGGCAGTTCTATTGTGAAACAGCACAGCAGCAGCTCCAGGGTTCTGGAGCAGACATTTACTGTTTTGGAGTTTGCACTTCCTTGCAAAGGGAATCAATATTTTAGCACTCAGTAAAAGATCAAGTTAGACAGTCAAATCCCTTCATGACAAAATTTAGAAAGAAAGAAGCTTTCCCTGAATTCTGGGAACAACTGCAGAGTTTTTAGAAGGCCCTCCAAGAAAGTCTGCCAGTCTACATTTCCAAAGCTGTCTTGCTTGTCCTTCCAAGTTCCCTTGCAAATGCTGCCCCTGTGGAAACAGACACCCCCTTTTTAGCTGAATGACTTGACAGGAGCCTTACCCAACCAATGGCCTCCTAATGTTCCTTTCTTTCTAATTCAATGGAGTCACTAAGAAAGAGCAGGAACGCATACAAAAGTTATCGGTTAGGTTACATCCAGGGAAAACCTCTACTTACGTGCCAGCTGAGTCAGGTAATAAGCAGAATAAAAAATGGCAAAAGCAGCAAAAACTGCAGCAGTGAGTTCCTCCCTCATTGTGGCACTGCTCTACAAGTGTGCAGGCTGTGCTTACACAGTTGGTAAAACAAGGCTCTTGTCAGTGCACAGCTGTCCAATGACAAATGTCTTAACCAGGAGGATGCTCCTGCTCTCAGCAAGACCTATAGCTGCTCTGACACTCAGGCCTTCTGTGCACCAAGGCAACCTTCTGATGTCACTATCATGATGTGGAAACCATGCCCTGACATCACAAAGTAAACCTTCTATGTTGGTCTGTGAATTTATGCCAAGCAATAACCAACCTTCCCTACAGCAAACACAAAATAGCCTGCAAAGTTCTCCTCTGTCAAAAAGCAGCATAAATTCCCCTCACGAGCCAAACCCTGTTGTTCAAGAGATCCAAGAGGAACTCCAAGAGTGCACAAAGCACCTACAGCCTGGACCCCAACTGAGCACTCAGATGGGACCCAAGCAAAGGAAACCAGGCCAAGAAAATGGCCCACAGCATTGCACAGAACCAGGAGAGAAGCCACTGCTGGCATAACAGCTGAAATCATTCCTAAAAAATCTCCCCACATATTTGAACATTTCTTGGACATGCCCAGGGCTCTGGTGCATGTACATCTCTGCCTTTATTCCCCTTTGGAAGCAGTCAAACTGGCAGCATCTGCCTGTATGCAGGAGCTGCTCCAGGCTGGGAATGTCACTGGCGGTGCTGATTTCCAGAGGCTTCTGTGTGCCAGGGGAAGCCAAGGCAGGAGCGGGTTGAACGGTGCTGCTGCTGCTGCTGTGTGCCAGAGAGCCCTGGCTGGGTAGGGCACGGTGCCCACTGCGCTGCAGGCTCTTTCTCCTGCCAGAGCTGGGCACACTTGCAACAAGGCATGACAACTGGTGGGCAAACCAAGGGGTTTCTGGGGCTGCTCTGCTCTGCACACACCCAGGACACCTTGGCTCCCAAAAAGGTCCACCAGAGGAAAACATAAGGTGAAAATGTTTCATTTTGACCTTTCTTTCCTGCTTACAGAAGTTGCCAAAATGAAAGTTTCTAAGCAGGGTCTGATCCCTGCTGCCAGCTCAGGGTTGGAAAGGAGGCATTACTGTATTTTAGTACTTGGTGCATAGGGAATCACTTCTCTTACATATGTACACCCAGCAATCTCACTTACTACTTTGTATCCATGGAATTAAGAAATATTCAATGCTTTGCGGAAACTCACAGGCTAAACATTACTCCAATTTTATCCGACATATTTCAATCACTCTCAGAATTTACTGACATCAGAGTAGGAGTGGGTCCCTGGTGGTCACTGTCACAGGCTCAGGAGGAGACCCATGCACAAAAGAACCTAAGCCCCAACCGGGCCTGCAAAGCAAATAATACACAGAATCACTGAATTTCTAGGTTGGAAGAGACCTTTAAGATCAAGACATCGATCATCATCTAACACCTCAACTAGATCATGGCACCAAGTGCCACATCCAGTCTTTTTTTAAACACATCGAGGGATGGTGACTGCATGCACCACCTCCCTTGGTAGATGACTCCAGTGTTTGACCACTCTTTCTGTGAAAAACTTCCTCCTAAATTCTAGCCTGTATCTCCCTTGAGACAGCTTGAGAATGTGTCCTCTTGTTCTGTCTGTTGTTGCCCGGAGAAAGAGACCGACCCCCAGCTCACTACAGCCACCCTTCAGGAAGTTGAAGAGAGTGATAAGGTCACCTCTGAGTCTCCTTTTCTCCAGGCTGAACAACCCCAGCTCCCTCAGTCATTCTTCATATGGCTTGTGCTCCAAGCCCCTCACCAGTCTCGTTGCTCTCCTTTGGACATGCTCAAGCATCTCAACGTCCCTCATAAACTGAGGGGCCCACAACTGGACGCAATACTCAAGGTGTGGCCTCACCAGTGCTGAGTACAGGGGAAGAATGACCTCCCTGCTCCTGCTGGCCACACCATTCCTGATACTAGCCAGGATGCCATTGGCCTTCTTGGCCACCTGGGCACATTGCTGGCTCATGTTCAGCTGACTGTCAACCAACACCCCCAGGTCCCTTTCCACCTGAGCACTGTCCAGCCACACTGTCTCCAGCCTATAACGTTGCAGGGGGTTATTGTGGCCAAAGTGCAGGACTCAGCACTTGGACTTATTGAACTTCATCCCATTAGATTCAGCCCATAAATCCAACCATTCCAAGTCCCTCTGCAAAGCCCTCCGTCCCTCTAACAGATCAACACATGCTCCCACCTTAGTGTCATCTGCAAATTTGCTAATGAAAGATTCTAAACTCTCATCCATGTCATCAATAAAAATATTAAACAGAACTGGCACTGACCCCTGAGGGACACCACTCGTGACTGGCCACCAGCTGGATGCAGCACCATTCACCACCACTCTCTGGGCCTGGCCATGCAGCCAGTTCTGAACCCAGAAAAGAGTGCTCCTGTCCAAGCCACAGCCTGCCAGTTTGTCTAGGAGAATGCTGTGGGAGACAGTGTCAAAGGCCTTGCTGAAATCCAAATAAACAACATCTGCAGCCTTCCCTGCATCCACTAGGTGGGTTACCTGGTCATAAAAGGTGACCAGGTTGGTCAAACATGACCGACCCCTCCTAAACCCATGCTGGCTGGGTCTGATACCCTGGCCATCCTGTACATACTGTGTGATGGCACTTAATATAAACTCTTCCATTATTTTGCCAGGTACTGAGGTCAGGCTGACTGGTCTATAATTACCAGGATCCTCCTTTGCACCTTTTTTGTGAATGGGTACCACATTGGCCAGCTTCCAGTCATCCGGAACCTCACCAGTGAGCCGGGACTGTTGGTAAATGATGGAGAGTGGCTTTGCAAGCTCATTTGCCAGCTCTCTCATTACCCTGGGGTGGATCTCGTCTGGTCCCATAGGTTTATGAACATCCAAGCATTTCAGTAGTTCTATGACTGCCTTCTCTTGGATAATGGGGGGAACCATTCTGCTCCCTGTCACCATCAACCAGCCCAGGCGGGCAGGTGTCTTGAGGGCAAGTCATCTTCCCACTCAAAACTGAGGCAAGGTAGGCATTAAGCGCTTCTGCCTTCTCCTCATCTACAGATATTAAGTTCCCTCCCTTGCCCAATAGAGAACAAAGGCTGGTCCCACCCTTCCTTCTAGCATTAATGTATTTGTAAAAACATTTTTTATTATCCTTTACAGAAGTTGCCATTCAGTGTTCAAAATGAGCTTTGGCCTCCCATATTTTTTTTCTGCATGCTCCAGCAGCCTTCTTGAATACTTCCTTAGAGACCTCCTTCCAATGCTGATACATCCTCTGTTTATTCCGAAGTTCCTCCAAACCATCCTTGCCCAGCCAGCCTGGACATTTACCCTGCTGACTGATCTTTCAGCACACAGGGACAGTCTGTTCCTGTGTCCTCAAGATCTCTATTTTGAGGTATGCCCACCCTTCCTGAACTCCTTTGTTTTTAAGGGCTGTTTCCCAAGGGATGCTCTGAATAAGTCTCCTAAACAGGCCAAAGTCTGCCTTCCGGAAGTCCAATGCAAGAGTCTTACTGGTGCTCCTCCTGACTTCGCCAAATATTGAGAAATCTATTAGTTTGTGATCACTCTGCCCCAAGCGACCTCCAACCACTGCATCTCCCACCAGCCCATCTCTATTTGCAAACAGCAGATCTAACACAGTGCCTCCCCTGGTGGGTTCCCCCAGCAGCTGCAACAAGAAGTTGTCCTCCATGCATTCTAAGAATTTCCTGGACTGCCTCTTTACTGCTGTATTAAGTTCCCAGCAGATTTCTGGTAGGTTGAAGTCACCCACAAGAACAAGGGCTGATGATCTTGAAACATTACCTAGCTGCTTATAAAATAAGTCATCTACCTCTTCTTCCTGGTTGAGTGGACGATAGCAGACTCCCAGTAGGGTGTCAGCCTTGTTGGCCTTCCCCTTAATTCTTACCCATAGACATTCAACTCCATCTGCCTTAGTTTCAATTTCTATGGCATCGAAAGTCTGCTTAATATAAAGGGCCACCCCTCCTCCTCTTCTTCCTTTCCTGTCTCTTCTGAGGTGCTTGTATCCATCCAGTGCAGTACTCCAGTTATGTGAGTCATCCCACCACGTTTCCGTGATGGCAACTACATCATAGCTCTGCAGCTGCACCATGGCCTCCAGCTTTTCTTGTTTGTTGCCCAAGCTGCGTGCATTGGTATACATGCACCTCAGCTGGGCTACTGACTTCACCCTTAACTTAGCCTTGCAACCCTTGGGCCTGTTTCCAGATAGCTCAGCTGGTTCCCCTTCCCCCTTCAAACATAGTTTAAAGCCCTCTCAATGAGGTCTGCCAGTTCATGAGCTAAAAACCTTTTGTCCTTAACAGAGACATGTACCACATCTGGCTCTAGCAGAGCAGATGCTGTAAAAGTTTCCCCATGATCAAAGAATCCAAAATTTTGCTGACGACACCAACACTTAAGCCACTTGTTGATGATGTGGATTCTCCTGTTTCTTTCATCATTTTCCTCCGCCACCTGAGGGACTGAGCAGAAAACTACCTGTGCTCCTGCCCTATCAACTACCTGACCCAGTCCCCTGAAGTCCTTTCTAATTGCCTTGACACTCCTCTTTTCAATCTCATCACTGCCAGCCTGGTGTATCAGCAGTGGGTAATAATCAGAGGGCTGAATCAGCCCAGGAAGTCTCTCAGAGATATTTTGTACCTGGGCTCCAGGGAGGCAACAGATTTCCCTGTGGGATGGATCTGGCCAACATATGGGGCCCTCAGTTCCCTTCAGAAGGGAATCACCTACTATGGTTACCCTTTTTTTCTTCTTGATCTTAAAGGTAGTGATCCATCTTACAGATGAATCATAATTGGGGGGTTGACTGGGCAGACAATTTTCTCCTAAATCATCTAGTTGCGTCTCCAGATCCAGGACCTCATACCTATTCTGAAGTGGGACATACCAACCCCTGGATTCCCAAAATCTGCTGAGCAGGAAGAGATGGATTGTGGTGATCGGCACCAGGGGCAGGTAGAGAGTGCACTTCCAGGACATCCCCTGGATCAGAACGCTGTGCATGTCTTGTCCTTCTCACCCCTCCACCCCAGAACCAGGCCCTGTATCTCCGGTTCAGGAGTGGAATTTTCCCAGTTACAGCATCGGCCCACACATGGCCGGTGTGTGAGATGAGGCCATGATGGCTCAGGATACCGACTCCCTGCAACCAAGGGCTCCATTATGCACTGTTCCCCTTTCAAAGCTTGACTGCCCACCAATTGACCAATACATTGTTTCTCTTTCAAGGGTGTCCTGGCTTGACTATATCATGCTTGTATCCCCAGTCATCTGTTCTGGTTTTGCACCTTTAAGACTTGTTCCAAGAGTGAAGGGGGGGAGAGAAGAAGCATGGAGGAAACTGCACTCACTCCTCCACATTTTCTGCTCCTGCACTGTGATGTCTGCGAATGGACAGACAGCAGGACAGAGGTCTCCTTCGCTTTTTCTTAGTCTTAGCTGGCTGAGGCAAAGAAGTTCCCTGGATTGTGGGGTTTTTTTCCATTTTCTTTGGACCTGTTTAGACCTTCTCCAGTCTGAACACCAGAAGAGCACTGGCAGCTCACACCTGTGACCCACCAAGCCGGGCCTGGGCTGCGGCATTTCCAGCACCACAGGGACTGACAGGAGACTGAGTGAGCTGAGCCACAGCCCACGGAGGAGACTTTTTGAATTGGTCTTTTTTTTGGAGCCGCAATAGGTTTTATTCTTTATTATTGTTTACGTTTTAAAGAGTTTTTTCCACTCTTCTCCAAGGAGGTGTTTTCTCCCAAACTGGTTGGGAAAGGGGCCGATTGAATGTGCTTTCTAGAGGAACCCCTTTGGGGGTTCTCTCCCAGATTTGCCCTCAACCAGGACAAAGGGTCAAGTTCCCACCGTTAAACATTTCCTTGTCAACTTGCTCAAACATCAAATATGGCAGGGCCTTGGAGACAGTTGTTTGAGAATTATTCCCAGTCAAATTCTCCTTTACTAATGAAGAGCATCCTAAAAACACTTTCTTCCCTTTGAATGCATTCCAGCTACCTTCTTGGAAGGATCATTCTCTTTATTCTCAGGGTTAAGATAGCAACTAGCACACATTAAGCACTGCATTGGGGGAATACAGAGTTCAGCACTGCCTGTTAAAGCTCAAGGAATTCACAAGATGAAGCCCCATTTGTTACACTTTAACATCTTCCCAACATCTCTTCTTCCTACTCTCAAAATCAAACACATGCATTTTGCCAAGAAGTCCTGCAAGTGCTTTTGCTGAGTGAAGACACATTACATCCTTTCTTCAGAAACTAATAAAAAAACCACAAATTGCTGACTGCAATCATTCTGCTCCCTTCCTAATCAGTTCACTACTCAAGCAAAACCCTCAGGCACATCTCTGATTCCCTCTCACCCAGCAGCTCAGAGCTGCATTGCGCATCGCTTGCTGTGTGCCAGAGAGCACAAAGCAGGCTGGCCTGGTGGTCCTGAATATTCCTGCCAAACACTCTGCATCTCACACCTTTGCTCTGGCTCAGTGCAGAATGGCAGGATTGCGGACGCTTCCTCCCAGAGGTGCATGAGGCGCTGGCTCCTGCAGATGTGCCCTGCCAAGCTGTCCCTGCCTCACGCTGGCCTCGCTTCCCCTGGCACAAGAGCCGGGCCTGAAGGAGGCTGCCCTGTGCTCCAGCCTGCCGAGCAGCCCGGCTCCCTGCCCCGGTGCCCAGAGTGCTGCACACACTGCTGACCTTTGCCAGGAGTTGCAGGGCAGCCGGCAGAAGAGGAGGAATCCTCAGGCAGCCCAGCGGCCCTCGGCTGCCCTGGGCCTTTCTCTGCTCCTGGGCACACTCCAGACGGCCAATGCCTCCAGGCTGGGCTGTGCCCAGCACGGCTGCGCTTCCCCTTGGCAGCAGCCAGCTGCCACCTGGGCTCTGAGAGTGGAGGATTCACCCGCTGCCAGGAACAGGCACCCAGGGCCCGGCTGCTGCCCCTTGCAGCTCCAGGGGCCTCCTTCCAGCCTGCCTCTGCCGGGGCTCAGCCTGCTCCGGCCTCTGCTGAGGCTCTCCTGGGGCTCCACCCCGGCCAAGGCCGGGCCCGCTCTCACCTCCCAGGCGCTGACAGCTCTGCACCACAGGAGACCTTCCCGAGCACCCTCTCTGATCTTTCTGCTTTCTCACTTGAGCAAGGCTCTCCTCCAGCCAAAGACATTGCATTTAGGGATACAAATCCAAGTGGCAGGAACCCAAATGTTCTTGATTCACAGCTCAATGCCTGAATCCACGCAGGGTGTTTGGGCTGCCCCATTCTTCCTTTGCCTTTTCCTGCAAATGCCATTGCCCTTTCTGCCTCAGCTAGAAATATCACAGCTAGGCAAAAACCTGCCACTGGATCCTATTCCAAAGGCCGTGTGCTGTGGGGAGGATGAATGAAAAAGATCCTTCCCCACTTTCAAGGCACAACATAGAAAGCCATAAATGTCACTTTGCACTTTTCAGAGACAGCTGATAACTCAGAGGGAAATGCTGAGCTTATTCGCAGGGTGAAAAATAATGGAATCTTCCAGATGAGTTGAAGTTTCTGCCAATTTATTGATTTACAATCCTACTCTACAATCCTTCTGTACTGTCCTACTCTAAGCTAGTTATGGAGTAAATGGTCCTGATGTCATTATCACAGTGTTAACATCTCCTTCCTCCTCTTCACTGAAATGATGAGTTGCACCAGGAATGAAGCAGGCTTGGCTGATAATACAAATGGAGGCTGCTCACAAATAAAACCCAAAACAATAAAAAACAGTGAAGCATGACTTTCCAAGCTCAAGTGCTTCACAGGCTCTATCAGGATTCCTCTAGTTCCTAGAAGGATGCAGAATAAGCATCTGCACCTCCATCTTTATCTGCAGGACCTTGCCATCACAGGTAAACCTCGTCCAGAAACCCACTCATCCATTTGTTCTGGTTGCTTCATCTTGCTGGGATTTTTGGCCTGCCAGTGCTCTAGAAATTGTGCTTTCTGTCCCTGGGGTTTCTTCCTCTCAGGAAACTCAGGGCAACAAAAACAAAACAAGGCAACAGAAACAGTCAGAAAACAGAGTACTTCTCTGTGGGAATTGTCAAAACACAGGGGTTTGGGAAAGCTGCAAAATGCAGGCGTCAAAGACAGCCAATGTTTGATTGGAGCTGAGCTGTAGCCATCATTTTTGTCTGCAGAAAAATTATATAAGAAGTAGAAAAGGACAAATAAAACAATGGTGTGTGTATTAGTGCTTGTCTAGAATAAGTCTGTAAGCTTCAGAAAAGTATATCTAGCAAGATATGAGGAACTTGTAAGCTTAATAGCAGAGTTCTGTGCATTGTGTTTTGAGGGTTACAGGCAGGTATTGTATTCAGAATAGGAAAGCATTGCTTTAACAAAAGAGATGTGTGCTTATAGTGGTTAGATAGAACTACTGTCAATATGCTTTTGCTTTGTGTGACCGGTCAAAAACTTTTAAAGTAAGTTATAACATTAAGTTCTTTGTCTGTTGCTGGGGATAAGAGCTACTGGCATCTTCCCATTGTCATAACCATGGAATGAGACTGATGCTGGAAAACAAACGGCTCAAGGTGCGTTCCACAGCAGTCCCGTCCCGTTCATAGACCCCCCAACAATAGTATTTAGATGTTAAATTACATCTATGATAAATTAATATCTATTATTTCATACAGTTTGATCTATTTTGATTTCATATAGATTTATATCTTTTCATTTCATATAGATTTGATAAATTCCTCCAGCTTGGGAGAGTGAAGATGTACAGCAGTCCAAAACCTTCCGCCCACACAGCAGTCAGCCCCTGAGTGTGTGCATGCACACCCACCCACTGTGCTTGCTTTTCTCAGCATCTTGGGGCTGCTGTTTGCACAGAATTGGGATGAATTTAACTCGACAGAGCCACGAGTGGGGTGTCCGGCTTGTCATGAACACTCATGTGTCAAGGCACCGCACAGAGCTCTCAAATCACACTACCATGTGTCCTTTCATTCCTGTTGGGCACAGAGGAACTCTTAAAAGCACCAAAGAGACAGAAAAGAGGTGGAAAACATTGGAATCATGCTACTGCTGGTATCTACCTGGAGGAAAATCTGTTTGGTTTCTTAAGGTATCAGCTTTCTGAAAACTAGGCAGAAAAAACCTACTTCTCAGCACCAGTACCTCAGTTGTGAATGGTTTTCTTGATTTGGCAAAACTGAGGTGTTTACAATGGACTCCGTCCTTGGTTCAAATCACCTGCCCTCACCTGCAGACAAAAGCACCACCACCAGAAGCAGAAGCTACTTCAGTCAATTTTCTCAAAAAGCTGTGTTAAATCTGGGAGAGGAAAAGAAAACACATCAGACACTGTGGATGAATGACAAGACTCTGAGAAACAGTTCCAAAGCAAAGGGCAGCAGCTTCTCTCTGGGCCACTCCTTGTGCTCCAAGGCAGCCGGGCTGCCCTGGATGCCCAGGACCCTGCGCTCTGCGGGCTCTGCAGAGCTGCACAGCGGGGAGGCAGCTTTGGGCACCTCAGCCCCTGGGCAGCAGTGGCTGCTTGCTCTGCAGGGCTGCCTGTGGGCAAAAGCAGGGTGCTGGCCTTCTGCTCTTGGCCCTAGCCTGGCCTTGCAGGGCTAATCCTGTTCCCTGTCTCAAATGTGCTAAAGACAGACTTGTTTGTTTCCAGCTCTGCACAGCATTGATTTGCATCACAAAGTACTGAAGGACTAAGGCCTGAACAACAGACTCTGACTGATGCTTCAACAATAGGGCCTGAGCTAAAGCTGCCCTTTAGATGACCTTTCCAACCAAAAACCTTTCCATGTATCTGCTCCTTAACCAAGTATTACTATCAAAAGGATTGTTGCATCCATTCACTGGTGAAACACGCCTTCACCTTTCTGCATGAGGAAAATGGACAAGGACACACCTGGCCTTGGTTCCTCCTGGAGCCTTGGGCACACTCGGGGAAAAAACCAAGAGGAGAATGAAACCAGCTGTCCCCCTAGCAGAAGCTCTGGCACATTCCTCATCCAGCACTATCAGAGCCAGGCTACTCTCACAGCGCACTCAGAAGCCTCATGGAGGCACCGCAGGATTTCCCGGTTCCCGGCTGTGGCGCTGCAGGGCTTGAATGGGACAGCTTCCCCCAGCTGATGTGCAGCTCTGGATGAAGGGGAAACCATTGGGGTACCTGGTGAAGTATCTTACTGAATCACCAGAGGAACCATTTTGTAATAATGCTGAAGTGCATTGCTTAGCTTATCCTTTCCTGACTCTTTTTCACACTTTTGCATTACAGTAAATTACACTGTTCCTTCTGTTGGTGTCTGTGTCTGACCCTCCCCACCATCTAAACAAACACACAGCCAGTTTAGCACGAGACCTGCCTCTCTGCCAGCCCATCTCTTGGCAAACAGCCCTGGCGGCCATCTCCACAAATAAAATTCCCACTTAGCAACTTCCTTTTCTGCAGGCAGGTGAGAAAAGGAGCCCCAATTCTGGACACCTCCAGAAACCAGCTGCTTTCAGCAGTCACAACCCTGAAATATCAACCTCCTTCCTTAACCTGCCTACGAGGAGCCCCCACCAAGAGGCCTTTTGTCTAACGATAGCCACAGAAGAGCTCGAGGAGGGAGCAGTTTGAAACACAACTGCTTCAGAGTTTAAACCTGCCTTTATCAAATGAGCACACACCAACCTGTCCCAGAGGGAAAGCAGGCAGGAAAGAAAAGCTCCTCTCCCACAACAGCAACTTCTGTGCTTCCTTCTGTTCAAGCTGGAGAATGGAGGCCATGGGCTACACCTCACTCTGGCAAGGAGCCCTGGGAATTGGCCCAATCTGGGAGAGCAGCAAAAGGAAATTCCCCAAAAAGTAGGAAAAGATTCTCTGGAAGCAAAAGATGATGACAATATTTCTGCAGAAAAGCAAAAAAAGAAAAAAAAAAAGAATACTTGAAGCATTTCAAAAAGTCCCCAGAACTGAAATTTCTTTGCCAATACGACAACCTCAAAGTGTCTGTGGTGTGTTAGGAAGCTCAGGAATGAACTGCAGGCTTGGATAAAACTCAATGGTTTCCATCCCTCAGACCACAAGCAGCTCCCCAACAAGATTTCAAGACCAAGGGACAAAGCTTCCCCCTTCACCTCTCCACAGCAGCTCTAGGGAATCTCTCTCCACTGCAAGATCTCCTTTGTCAGTCTACAGTGACAAGAGTTGGCTGCAGGAGGCATTTGCATGGGAACTCTCTCCAGATGGGGGAAAGAAGAAGAAGAAGCGGTGATTCCTGAGAAAAGAAAAAGGCAACGCTGTTTGGGAAGACACCAGCATGAGTTTCCCATAATTCTAGGCCAAAAATCTCTTGAATAAAGCAACATCCCTCAATGGGGCAGCACTTTGGCTTTGATAGGAATGCTGAAAAACTTCCTGCCCCTTTCTGCTGCTGTAGCTGACTCCAAATCACAAGAAATGTGCCAACTCTGCCAAAGAGAGGCAGACGTGGTGAGATAAAATGACCTAGTTGGCTGAAAAGGAGACCAAATGAATGTTTTCTAACCTCCCCCCTTTTTATCCTTTCCCCAGCCAAGCCAGAGCAATGTCCTTCCTCTCAGTCACTGATGGTGACCCAGGCATGGCATGCAGCGTGGGGACAGAGCCTGTCACTGCTCCCAGTGCCCTTGCCAAGGGCTTCCACTGCCCTGCTCTGCCATACCAGGCCCTGCCCTTCCCTTCCCTGCCCTGCAGAGGCCAGTCAGCCGTGGGACCTGCCCAGCCCGTGCTGTGCCCGCGGCCCCGGCTCTGCCACGCTCGTCCCCGCCAAGTCCGGCCCGCGCCGGGGCCGCGCTGCTGCTGCCCGCTGGGCTCAGCGTCAGCACCTTCCCTGCCAAGCCGAGGCACCTGGTGAACAGCCCCCATGTCCACTCCGTGCGCTGGGACAGCCGCGCCCAGGGGCTGCTCATTGACCTCTCCCTCTTCCAGCGGGCGCTGCTCAGCCTGCGTGATTCCTGCTGGGTGGCTCTGTACTCCTTCCAAGCCACGCAGTTCTGCAGCTTCGAGCTCCAGCTCCACTGCTACAGCTTCCACAGGGTACCGGGCTGGGTTGGCTCAGCTGTGCTGGGCAATGCCGGGGCCTGGCCCCACTACAGCATGGCCACCCCAACTTCCTTGTCCGCACCAAGCGCTGGAGTGCGACCAACAGGCAGCAGCAGGACAGGAAGGTCACAGCCGCTTCCAGCAGCTCCACAATGAGCAGGCAGTGCCCTCTTCCCCACCAGGCAGCCACCCAGAGCCGGAGAGACTAGTGGGACCTGCGGGCAGTGTGGGCTGTGGCTGTGGATGCTCCCCAGCGGGGCAGGAGTGGGCCCTGCCCGTGCTGAGGCTGCTCAGCGCAGCTGCCCCGGCTGGCACAGGGGCTGTCCTTGGGAAAGGCAGCAGTGCCGGCAGGGCCCGGGAGCTGTGCTGGCTCTGCCAGGCTGCCGGGGCTGTGGGACGGTCCCGCCGTGGCTGCGCTCCCCACAGCCTGGCCCGCTCGGCTGCAGCTGGCCCAACCGTGCGCCGTGGCTGGCACTGCTCCTTGCCCTGCCCTGGGATGCCTGGGGAGCTCTCCGTGACTGCGTGTGAGCCTAGGGCTTGGTCCTGGTCATGCCCAGCTGGAGGGAGCCCCCTGTCCCTCTGGGGAACTGCGGAAAAGACCTGCCAGTTGGCTTTCTGGCAGCTGCCTCCTGCCAAGGAACAACAGCAGGACAGTTTTCCCAGACAGTTGAACAAATAGGGGAGAGCTAAATGGACAAGGCATTGCTAGTTGAATAGCCCCATAATATATGGGGGTCTTTGTGTTCGGCTTTCTCGCCCTGTTTGGGATGTTGGGAGCTTTTGTTTTCCCTGACAGAAGTACAGTTGCTCAGTACCGCTTCACCTGAGGATTTAGAGCTGCCTCCAGGCTAAGTGCAGGTGCTCAGGACTCTGAGGTTTTCCTACCTTCTCCCAAGAAAGTGTTTGCCACATCTGGACTTCTTGGGGTTTCATTGGAGGAGCCAGGCACAAGCAAATTTCATCTCAACTGTGAGCTCTTCATTCCGCTTGGTCCCATGGACATTAAATGCCAACCTGAGCTAATTCTTTCTCTGGCTCCCATAGACCATCACAGCCCTTCCATGACCACTCCAGAGATAAGCAGTTGCACATCTTCACAGCAGCAGTTGCCAGCCCACAGCCCATCAGGTAGGGAAAGAGCTTCTACCCTTGCTTTCCAAGCAGCTCCTGGTAAATGACCCTTTCAAGTGTTTTCCTGCAGTGCTCTATCATGGGTACATCTCAAGTGAGAATCAGGTAGAAAGTGTCAAGGTGCCTAGGAAGAGGGTCCTTGAAAACAGAAAGATTCTCTTCCTGCTTTTCCTGTCCTTGCTACAGATTTGGAGGGTGTTCTGGGCATTTTCCAGACAGCCTCTCTGTAGGGGGACAAGGGCAAGGTGAAAGATATTGCCTAACAAGTGGTCAGTGTTAGGTGGACTCCCCTCTTTTTCTGAATGAAGCCAAACTAGGACCCTGATAGGATATTGCAGATATTTAAGACTGTCTGCCCTGTAAATCAAGCTGTGTCATTGAAATGAGCTCTGTGTGCCCCAGAAGAGTTGGAGCTGCAGAATACAGCCTCACCCTCAAGGATGGTTTTAGGAAAAACTCACAGTTTAATTTCAGCATGGGTGTCTGAAGATCTGGGCTCTTCCTGGCTGAATCCACTTTCTGTGTTCTTTTGTGATGAGAACCCAAATGTAGCCAAATCCCAAAACTGATGGGAAGATGCAAAAGACTGTGATTATAACGGGTTTTTGTGTGTATTTGTATCAGATTTACAATCCATGCTTTAATCTATGTACAGGTCAATTCGGATAAATATTTTTAAGAGGAAGAACTCACTCCTCCAATCCCCTGGGAACTCTGAATACATTTCTGGAATTGAGGTTGCTGTGTGCTTCCTGTGATGTTTGATCCAAGGCAGCACTAGAGCTCTGCATCCCAAAGACACATTGTGGAGCCTGACCAATGTGTTTGGATTCTTGCAGCCAGGCCAGACACTTCAGCCCCCAGCACTCCAGCTGCCAGTGCAGGTTCTGCAGCATGGACAGCCACAGCTGGCTGTGGAATACTCCTGGGAAAGAGGAATTGCCACCCCTGGATCTGGACATGGTGCTTGAGACACCGGAGGAGATGTTTTCTCCCTCTGCTCAGGTAACGGCATTCGACAGGGAAGAAAGTGGCTGGACTGGGAGCTTCTGAATGTTGTTGCATGGTGGAGGAGCAAAGGCTTCTTGAGTTCAGCTGTGAATGGATAAGGAAGGCTTTGCCTGGTAAAATAAGACTTCCTAAAGAAGAGGGAATGAAAATGTCATCCATGAGTAAGGATGGAAAGGCGTGAGCCTGTGTTGGCCAAGTTTGGGTGCTCCTTTTCCTGGGAAGAACCCTTCATGCAGGAGCATTTGTGGTGTGGAAGTGGAAGCTCTGCAGGTTCTAAGAGGCTTTGTTTGATGGGAAAGAAGAGAAGAGTGTTTGGAGAAGTGGCACTGAAGGCCAAGTGTCCCAGGCAGGGAGGGGCATGCCAGAGGTGCCTCTGTTGCAGCAGCAGATGTGGGCTGTGCCTCTTTTGGGTGGGAAGGCCAAGGCAAAGCAAGGGCTGGGCTGCAGCTGCTGCTGCTGTGTGAGCCCTGCCGTGCATGTAGGCGCTCCCAGAGCCGTGGCTGGGGCTGGGCTGCAGCTGCAGCTTTCTTGTCCTCTCAGTAAGCTGCTGCCTGCAGTCCAGTTTCCATCTGGGAAATCCTCAGCTGGGCAAACTGGCCAGTCTTGCTGTCCATGTTCAGAGCTCAATCCCCTTGCTCTTGGCCATCTCTGTGGGAAGAGATGTGTGTTCCCATGCTGTCCTTGCCAAGCTGCAGCCTGGATGAGACTGCTGTGCTCAGGGCTGTGGAGGGAGGAGCACATCCCTGTGCCAGGAGCTGCCAGGACTCCTCCTTAGCAGCCATTCCATGTTTTCAGTATCACCCCCATGTTCAACACTGTCAGCTTTGACAGCTTTTGGACTGTGTTTGAGAAGTCATATCTTTTTGACTGTTGAAGGCCTAAGGGGCCCAGAGTTCTTGTTAGGAACAAGAGATTATGAACTGTGAGCCACGGAGTTGTTGGACCAGGTGTTTTGTGTCAGTGGTGAGAAGGGTATCTTCCTTTCTCTTTCAAAGGGAATATTACTGTTGCCCCTGAGTCTTCAGGAGGGGAGCCTGTGGGCAGAGCAGCAGCAGAGGGAGCTTTACCTGGCACCGAGAGCTGCAGGAACAATTCCCAGGAGCGCGAGGAGCTTGGTAAGGACAGAGCCCCCACTGGTTTAGAGAGGGGTGAGATGGCTGCTCTGAGCCTGCCTCTGGCAGTGAGGGAGATGAGAAGGGTTGAGTTCCTGTCTGCAGGCTTGGTGCTTCCTGGTGCCTTGAGTTCAAATCCTGCACGGGCACAACCTGCCTGAGCCCTGCCCTCCACGCTTCTCCAGAGGCTCTGACACTGAGTCCTCTGCTGGGGCAAGAGAGCGGGGAATAAACCTGACCTTGTGGCAGTTGTGTCACCAAGCCAGGTGTCCCAGTTTTGTGCTGATGTCCATGGATAAATTTGCTGCAGGATGTCAGTGCTCTGGAGGCAACCGTGAGTGACTCTTGAAGCAAGAGAGGAAAAGTCCAGCAAAAGGTCAGTGTAGAAGTCTGAGCTTTTTGTCTCCAAGCATTAAATCCATGTAGTGGCACTCTGCTGATAGCTGTAGTGAGATACATTAAAAATACAAGCAGCAGAAGCTCTGAGGCCAAGGAAATCATTAGTCACAAATCCAGTACCTCAAGAAAAAACTGAAATTACCCCTTTAAATTAGAGAGAACTAAAGGAGACAGAGAGCACTTTGGGTCTGCATTCTTGAGCAAAACTGGTGCAGACTGCAGGCCTGGTAGGGAGCTCTTTCCCTCCCAGATGTGATAACCAGAATTCACTGCTTAGAATTTTTAAAATTTTAATACTAATAGGATAAAAAAAGACAATAAATGCAGCACTGGGGTGCTCCTGGCCAACAGCCAAAGAGCACCCGCTGTACAGAGACAGTGTTATCTTTATAGGGTTACATTGCTGAGATGCAAGCATATTCATGTGTGTCATGCTGTATTCAAACACTCTTGGGAACTTTCTGATGTTTTGGGAACTCATTTGTTTGACTTCTTCACACTCACTCAGGCTTACTGCATGACGTCCTGTGCATCAGATCAATATATTTTCTTTCTTCTTGTGTCTCCTTCCTGCTGTTTCACATCCTCTGATAAGGGTTTAGTATGTCCTCCTTAAATTTAACATGGTATTCTCTAATTGTCCTCTGGTGCTCTGGTTGGTGTCAGGGTTATTTTATCACTTGAGCAGGTTGGTCAGTGGATGGCCTTACACTGTTTTCACTTACACACAAGCCTTTTTTTCCCCCTTATGATTTGCTAGGATCTGTAACACAATACACTCATCACACAATTGTTTCCATAAGTGATACATAGATATTATATTCATTTCACTACTATTTCTATGAGCAGCACAGTGCACACTTAAGCTGATAGATTCTATTAGTTTAACAAGCAGATAAAAAAAGTTATAACTGGTGCTATTTCTAAATACTCATAATCACTAACAACATGCATAAACTAATACAGAAATGTGAAAGCCAATATTACCTGGTCATTTGTCACCCAGCTCTTCATCCCAGACCTGGTGGTTGTTTTGGAGGAGCTGTGGCTCACTGCAGAGGGCAGGTTGTGGATGGCAGGGAACGGTGCTAGTTCATAACTCAGCTCCCAGCACCTTCAGCTTCAGCCATTTCAGTGAGGACTGAGGTCTCTCTGTTAGCACAGAGAAAGAAGAAGGCTGGGCTTCTTTGTGGCAGCTGGCACTGTCTGTGTTTCAAGCTTTCGTGGGGGCCCTTTGCACTGAGAGGGCTTTGAGTTTATTGGGATACTTCAAAAGTTTTGAACACTTGGAAGGAGTCTGGCTCTTTGAAGAGCAGGCTTCCAATTATCAAGGTGTGAGTC